GCGAGGCCTGATCATTGCACTTCTTGATTGGGCTGACCCGTAAGGCAGTCTCGAGTTGAGATTCGCCTACAGCTAAATTTTTGCGTGGGGGGACGCGTTCGCGCGTCCCTGATAAGATAGAAAAAAAGTAGCAGTAGGAATGGATTTTTGTTCGTTTGCTTGAAATACGCAATGATTCGTTACATTCGTAATTTACTCAGGATAGGAAAACAATTTCATAATTTATTGATAATACTTTGCTGATCACATGTTTTCCACTTATACAATTGCTCTGCTGTGTTAGTTTTTCATTTCATCGAAAATCGTGTTCATGTGTAGTTGATATTACTTATATCCATGAAAGAATAATAAAGATTGCTTCTCAACGTTCTTATCCTCTATGAATGAGATTCAGAGCTTCACACATCTCACATTTCCATTGTATTTGTCTGTCCTAAATCTTTATCTGACTGAATATAAAGCGTTGAGCTATTTCAAATGCCTGCTTCCTGCAATACATTTATAATGTGAGAATGACTCGAAGGATGAATATGATGAGCAATAGTTAGTATGAACTCGATCACAAAATGGGCGTACTATTGAAGCGGAAGCATCATTTTTTCCTAATCAGAATGAAACTTTATATGATAAGCTCATCAAAAGTATGTTTGCATATGTCTTAGTCAGTTTACTATCTTTTCAGGATGATATCATATTGTGTGTCACGAAGTTGGAAACGGACTCAACGGTTCTTTTCTGTTGGTAAAGGTATTAGGTTGACCTATATGATATACGGTTACAGAAACCATAGGCCTGTCTAGCAGCATGAGCATTAAACTTACCTGGCTGGGAGTATGCCGCGATCATCAAGGCGGGATCTCTATGGCGAGGCCTGATCATTGCACTTCTAGATTGGGCTGACCCGTAAGGCAGTCTCGAGTTGAGATTCGCCTACAGCTAAATTTTTGCGTGGGGGGATGCGTTCGCGCTCCCTGATTTTCCTCGAGATCCTTTGTTGGTAATCAATCATTTTCCTAATTTTATTCTCACTTTTTGTTGTCAGATACAAAGGGCAGAGCTAGCCATTCATCTTTCCATTTTTGGTTTCAATCCGGTTCTAATGAGGTTTTGATGATTGGGATTAGGGATGAAATTCAGTTGGTCGATTAACAAATGCTTGTTTTCACGTTTCTCTGTTTAGCTCATGTGGTTTACAGCAACCGTTACTTAGGTATATTGATCACATTTATGATAACTTCATGTGAGTTTAAGAAGGTAATGAGAACGATGTGGAAGAGCGCTTACTGACAACGATTGCGATGATCAAAGACAGTAACAGTTTAGTTGTAATTCTCTTTCTTTTCTCATTCTTGTTATTCAGTGAAAGAAAAATTGGAGATCCGAGATAGCGAAATGTGGGAGCCAAGAGCAGGAGGCACGATGATCGCTGTAGTCATGAATGCTGCTTATACGCTTGCTTTGAGAGCTGTGAAGAAGGTTATTTCTAATGTCATGTACATCATATTTGATTCATATTCAGATGATCAATGCGCCACATCAAATTGAAGAGTTCAAAAGCCTGAATAAGGTCTTCGCTTCAATTGACTCAAAGTTTCAAAACAGAAATTTGACGGTGTCCATTACAAATGAAGAGATGAAGATCGGTTTTGCAAGCAAAGAGGCGTTCGAGAATGGTACTTATCTGTTAGCTGAGAGTATTAAAGGATTATGATGTTACAGGAACGGCCAAGGACACTCCTTTTAGCATTCGATATTTACCAGTGATGACAGTACTATATAATGCAAATTATAGAAATCATAGAGTTCTCGAAGTATTTAGGAAAGCGTGTCAAGAATTCAATCCAATCAAGGTGGTGCAGGTAGAGTTTTGTAAACAAGTAGCTTTAAATCAAATTTTCTATCATCAGCATACAGTTTCCAATCTACAGCTGTCCTCCAAAGAGTATTCTTCCGGCTCTATTGTTCAGAATTTGGTTTGACTGAATATATGAACAAAGAATAATCTCTTTCTCTTACAGATTGCCCTACATGAGGACTTCATAGCCGACCAAGCTGCTATATATACGCAAAGCATTTCATTTACAGAATGTATTGCTTTGAGCCAGAAGACTAGATTGGCTTCACAAGAACCAATGGTAAGCTGCATCGATCAAATCAAAGGTCAGATCTTGTTTCAGGTCATTTCGCAATCTCTACCACAGTTCTCCATCGCTTTGAACATCCTACGGAAGAAATATTTCAAAAAGGCTGAAACCATCTCTGGTCATGATGAACTGTAGATCTTTTTCAATCAGTAGAAACGAAGGTTTGAGTTCGCTTCGACTGAAATCACTTTCCGAACATGATATGTACAAGTCTTTCTCCTACTACCGTTTCTCGCATTGGGTTATTTATTAGAAATCATCATGGGAACAACTTTTGTAATGAAATCAGTTCATATCCTCGTGTTCCTAGTTGATCCACATTGGGTTGCTTAGAACACCATAACCAAACACCACTACACTCTAGAATTTATGTTTAAATTTTCATATGAACCAGACTGGCTTGTAGGGATAACAAATTACTTCTGATCGATTTTCTAAACCTGTGTCGTATCGATTGTTTATACACTCATTCAATTCCTTCACGGAATATCAAAACTTCTGAATTGACGAGCAGCGATAAAACGTAACCGGTGCGGACGGTTAACAGTAAAATGGATTGTTGACTCTGGACGGCTTAGGATAGAATGCAACCGTTCCGGACTGTGAGGGATGGAATGCAACCGTTCTGAACGGTTTGGGTGGAATGCAACCGTTCTGGACGGCCTGTGTTCGGATGCAACCGTTCTGGACGGTTCGGGTGAAGCCCGGATGAGTCCAGGCTCTACCCTTGGCTTGAGAACTGATGAGCTTTTCCCCTCTCTCTGGAGGACCTCCAGTGAGAGAGAAGTGTAGCTCACCGGCTCACACCGCCAACTGACGTGATTCAGCTGCTCCACGGTTTATATACCCCCGGTAATGCGCCACGTGAAAATAATTTTGACGTGAAAAAAAAAATGACCCGGTTGTTCTCTTTCGGAAAAACGATAAGACTTGGCTCAAAATTGATGAAATCGGTTGATTTTTGGGTTATTTCGGATCAGAATTTCATTTTGAATTCGAATATCATGTTCATTTATTGTTTTAAAGAGAAAA